TTTTTTTTTTTTTTTTGGAACCGAGGGCGGCACCCCCTGCCGTGCCGAGTCGGCCAGGTGTACACCATTTCCTTCCGCCGTGCAGTAAAAGTCATTTCACGCATACAGGTGTAGTTTTCGTTGCACGCCGCGCAATTGCGCGCGCGTGCCTCCGTTTTTGTTAGGTCGGACACACGACACCAGGCACACACAGAGAGACAACACCGCGGCCGGCAAAATATGTATATTTCGTACAAGGGCTTCGCGGCGGGTGGGCAAAGGCGCCCCGCCGCTTCGCTGAAGGCTGGATACGATGTCAAGTGTTGGATGGTTGGTGTTGTGGATTGGACGCAGAGTTCCATCATTATTGAATCGCAAGCAGGAAGGCAGGCACCGGACTCTGAAGGACACACTCCACGCCACCTCCTGAAAGAACGTAACGGACTGGTCGACGTTCTGACGACGCTGCTTTTGCCCGTGGAACATTATAATACAATCTTAGAAACGAAAGAAAAAAGAGCCTTATTCCCTAGAAAGTGAAAATTTGAGGTCGAGAAAGGAGGGGAGTCATGTACGTACATGAAAAACGCGATTGATCTGAAAGAGGTTATTCCTAGGAAAAAGAATCCGGTAGCGCAGAGACTTGCGCAGAGACTACTCCGATCTGGTAGAAACCTGGGTTATTAGTAGTCCTTAAAAAACGAAACGATTGGCCTGAAAAAGGTGTACCTAGGAAAGAGAATCCGACATGCGCAGAGACTTGCGCAGAGACTACTCCGCCCCCGTAGAAAAGCTTTGTGAGTGAGTAGTCCCTAAAAAGCGAAACGAAATGTTCACGGACATGAAACGCGATTGCTTTTCTAGGAAAAAGAAAGAGAAAACGACATACATGCGCATAGACCCCCTTCCTAGGAAAGCAGACAGGCGTCGAGACTACTCCGCCCGTGTAGAGAACGAGATATATACGTGACTGCAATACTGATCGAAATCAGCTTGATCCCGCTCGAAATGTGTGAGTTGATCTGCGTGGTCGTGATGCTGGTTGCGATTGTCGGTGGCGATCCATGGCGATAAAACCATTCCAGGCAGAATCGGTGTAGAACATTTCTTCATAGAGTTCTGCGTACTACTCAACCTGTGGGTGTTAGACCTGTGGGGATAAGTGGGGTTGAGGAGGAGGAGTTAGTCCGCAGGACGAGTAATGGAAAAATGCTTCATTACAGATGAGATGAAGTGCAGAGGGATTGGCGGCGTTTGGATCAGGCAGGGAATCGGGCGAAAAGGAAAATGTTGTAGGTAGGTGCGTTCGGCAGCGAAAATTTCGGGCTGGCCAAGATATGCTCTGGGATGGGACATAATCTGGAGGTAATTGTTGTAAGAGGAGTACTGGCGTGCGCCTTCCCCGAGAATGTTAAGGTACTCAGAATTAATTCCTGTTGTGATGATATTTTGAAGGTGGGAATCGTTTCGATTTTGGTGCATGTATCGGAGAACTTCGGAGCGGACTTGGGCGTGTTTGTTGGGATCGTTGCATATTATGCGTCTTGAAATAGCGCGAAAGCCGCAGGCACCATCGCCAATTTCACTGATAATAGACCATTTCCTCTGTGGTGGGGTAGGAGGGCTTGGAAGCGAAGGCTGAGAGGAGCTGGAAGTGTTAGATGTATTCGGCGGAGGTGAAGGAGTGGACGATGTGTAACCGGTGGCGGCTTCTGTGAAAGGATCATAGACGCAGTTTTCAACGTGTGCTGTGGAATTGAGGACATGCGTATGAGGCACGAGGATCGTAACAGATTTTCGATTTTTGGCTCTACTAAGAGCGGCATGGAGCTGTCCGTGAGAGAAGCAGTCGTAACGTAAGTCTAGACCAATACGAGACAAAGTTTGACCCTGGCTTTTGTTTATTGTTAGAGCATATACTATTCTTAAAGGGAATTGAACCTTTAATGCCATTTCTTCCTACTTGAGCGTGGAACGAAATACGACGAATGAGGACGATGGAGTGATCACTTAATAGTTCCACTCGGACTACGCGAGAGTTTGGGGATACTCCCCGAATGACAACCTTTTGGCCGTTGACGAGGCCCTCGGAAAAATTTAAATTCCTGATCAACATTGCCAGAGCATCCGATTTGATTTTCAGCTGACGGGGAGGAACGCCGGGGATGTCAATGTTATTGAGATGTTCAGTCGAGCAGAAGGCGGTTGGTGATGCAGGGTTGTTATGATCTTTTATGAGTGTGTCAGAACTGTGGAAGGTAACGTTGTCGCCTTGGCGTCTGGAAGATATGGCGTCGTTGCATGAGTCGATGGAAGTGTTGGTGGTTGCTAGGGGAGCGTGGTCATTGAGGTGGCGAGCGTCTTCATGGATATCAGAGTAAACGAAGTTGATCAAGTCATTGAAATCTGTGGTGTACTGCAAAGAGAAGTGGTCCGTGGTGGAGGTGTCATGGGTGTTTGATAGCGGAACGCGTTTGGCACCGTCGCTAAAGGTGGTTGTTGGGTGTATGTTTTCGCCGATGGATCGGACGAAGGAAGCGTAGGCAGGGTCTTCTTCGTCTCTTTGGGACATTGCTAGGCGCATAAGTTTTGTTTTTGGCCATAGCTCGCTTGAGATGAAGGATGCTTCAACTGTGTCAGCGGGGGTAGCGAAGGGCACAACAGGGCCACACTGGCGTCAGTCGCCTGAGAAGCAAATGGTGATGCCACCGTACAAAGCTTCGGAGCGTCTGATGTCTCGCAAAGTCCGCTCCAGAGCCTTTATACAGTAGCGGTGTGTCATGGGTAGCTCGTCGAAAATAATGAGGTTACATTTTCGAATGAGTTCGGCACGTTGTGACTCGCTGTTTATGTCGCAGAAGGCTCCATCGACAACTTTTTCATTGAGTGGGAGTTTGAACATTGAGTGAGCGGTCCAACCGCCAGGAAGTTGAAGTGCTGCGATGCCGGTGGAGGCGACTATTAACACCGTAAAACCTTCTCCTCTGAATCGAGCAGCGAAAACTTGCTCGGTGTGAGATTTCTCACAGCCGAGAGAGAGAACGTCACAGGAACCTTGCAGATTTCGCAGGCGATGTCGGACTCTTCTCCCTCCTTCTTCTTGTCTTTGCCAAACTTGTTGGCCGTGAACTGGCAGGACGTTGGGTCGTCTAGTTTGTTTTGTGAGCAGCAGACGAACGGGCGCCCGTTCTTGCGGTACTTGTAGACGAGGGAGGACTTGCACAGAATGCACACCCGGCCTGGGAAAACCTCGGCAGCAGGCTTGAAATCGTCGCCAGATACACCACCGTCAGAGGGGTGCCCGGGCTGGGGTTTCTTGTAGGGTGAATTTTGCTCAAAGAAGCTAGACATGCCTCGAGCAGTTGCGGGAGTTCTTGTAGGGTGAATTTTGTTCAAAAAAGCTGGACATGCCTCGAGCAGTTGCGGGAGAGAGAGATTGGTTGTGGCGCGAGAGGTTGTTGTAAGAAACGGGGAGAGCGGCGACGTTTTATTTTGCGCGACAAACGTCCCGTAATTCGCCGTCCTTCCCACGCGTCGAAGGAGATGTGTTGAAGTTTCGGATAGGAGGGTAATGCATGCTGGTCGGGTTGAGCAAGCACGTATTTGGAGGCTGCTGCACCTTTTTGTTGTGACGGTAACTATAGGAAAAGTTCTCCCGGAAATAAAAGCAGAAAAGAACGAGGACCTGTTCGTATTTGGAGACTGCAGATCTTGCGAGGCTAAAATAGTAAAATTTCTCCTGAAAATAAACCAGAAATGAACGAGGACACTGTTCGTATTTAGACTGCTGTATCTCTTTGTCCGGATAAACATTGAAGATCTGTTCAAACGTGAGAACTAAGTCCGTCGGGAAATTATGTAATTCGCCGTCGGGAAAAGTTAGTATTAATAATTGTGTACGCACATGAAGCAGACTCAACAGCGGAGACAGCGGAGAAACTGTGTAATTCAGCAGCAAAAGTACATTCAGCAGGAAAAGAGCCAGCTGGAGGGATTATGTAGGGACTGTCGCCCCACAAGACCCCGAAAGCCGAATGGCCTGGTCGCTGTTAAGATTTGCGCGTTTGATTGGGGAAGGAGCCGTAGACTTCGTAGACGCGATTTTGCGCGCTCGCTAACGCCTCCCCACGGGCGCCCCTACCGCGAGGCGCACGCCGGCAACGCCCTCGCAGCGCGGGGCTACCGGCAGTCGCAGGTCTCGGGTCGATTCGAGGCCTATTAAGCAGACTCAACGGCGGAGACAGCGGAGAAACTACGTAATTCAGCAGCAGCAAAAAAAGTACATTCAGCAGGAAAAGAGCCAGCTGGAGGGATTTTGTCTTTTTGTTGTGACGGTAACTGTATGTAGGAAAAGTTCTCCCGGAAATAAAAGCAGAAAAGAACGAGGACCTGTTCGTGTTTGGAGACTGCAGATCTTGCGAGGCTAAAATAGTAAAAGTTCTCCCGAAAATAAACCAGAAATGAACGAGGACACTGTTCGTATTTAGACTGCTGTATCTCTTTGTCCGGATAAACATTGAAGATCTGTTCAAACGTGAGAACTAAGTCCGTCGGGAAATTATGTAATTCGCCGTCGGGAAAAGTTAGTATTAATAATTGTGTACGCACATGAAGCAGACTGAACAGCGGAGACAGCGGAGAAACTGTGTAATTCAGCAGCAGCAAAAAAGTACATTCAGCAGGAAAAGAGCCAGCTGGAGGGATTATGTAGGGATGCGACGGCGGAGGAAGCGGGGAACGTTTGGTTGGTCTGGGGTTCATTCATCGCTGATGATGTTGTTGCTGTTGTCTCCGTTGTTTGTTAACTGTTGTTCAACGCTGCCGGCCATTTTTTCGCCGTTTTTTCTCTGGGGAGAGAGGGAGTCCCACCAACCAGCGTGTGTTGCACACACCACACAGCGAGAGCGGGACGGGAGCAGGGTGTGCCCTATACTACTGCTGCTGCTAGCTTTCGGCGGAGGAAGCGAGAGGAGAGATATTGATTGGGTCTCTGTGGGTCCATCGGTTGGTTGTTGTTATTGTGTTGCGACGCGGCGGGAGGGAGCGGCCTCTGACTCTCTCTGCTCTGGAGAGAGGCACATATATATACATCACAGCACGGGACCAGTTACACATCACACTCGTTCCTAGACGATATAGTGCCACTGCTGTGCTGTGCACCTCTCTACATTCATTGTGGGCGCGAGGGTGTGTCGCCTCTGCTGCTGCTGCTGTTGCTGTTATCTAAAGCGGTGGCGGAAGCGTCCTGTTCAAACAATCAGCAGCAGCAGCAGCACAAGCCGGGGGATTTTTCAACGTATTTTTTTTTTCCTCTCTAGCTGATGACGATGGATACCACCCCCTCCCCCCTCCGATGATAGCACCCCGCCCTCACGGCTGACGATGGATACCACCCCCCTCGCTAGCTGATGATGGACACCA